TAAGTTAAAGTGGAACAATATATATTAATCCTGTTAGAACATGACATTTTTTTGGTCTGTCTTAACATTGTTGTACTATACTAATTTTATTAGAACAAGATACCTGTTGCCATGTAGTAGAAAATTGATATAATCATTATTCCTTTTTGGTATCGGCAAAGTTATGCTAATGACATAAAAATTTTAAAACAATAAAGATTGCTAGTCTGTGAATGGTGACTCTTTAGATGCATTGCCCTAGGGCAAAGCACAACTTGAACAACCAATTATTGTGACCCTAATGATAGGAAGGTTCCTAAAATACTAACGCTAACCTTGTGAGCTGGTCTATTCCATTTCTGAATGACTCATTGCTATAAAGCTCATCCTTGTATAACCTGCTGAAGTGTTCCAGAGTTATACTGGAATCATTCCATATGTCTAGCCCAATTACCAGGGGGCAGTATAGGCTAACTCACACTGGATTGAGTGTCAGACTGGAGATCCTGTCCTAGGTCTGTCACTGATAGCTGAAAACCCAAACAAGTCACTTCATTGGCTTACCTTCAGTTTTTGCCTCTCTAAAATTAGTCTAAAGTGTCTTTTGCTTTCCATATTTCTAATTCCTTTTTGTTTTTATCTGATCATAGCTAGCCTAATTTAATTTGATTTGGCTGATTTGGTCTATATTTATATATGTGTTCTTATTAATGCTTGATCATTGACTTTATATTTTAGATGTCAAAATCCACAGGCAACTTCCTCACTTTGTTCCAAGCTCTTGACAAATTTTCAGCCGATGGTGAGTATGCTTTTTTGTTACTGCTGTTGCATAGGGTCCATTCTCCTCAGATTACAGAAGACAAGTTAAAATAGGTGTTTTAATTTTGTCTTCTCTTTTGTTTTTAACAAAATGTTAAAATATTCATATTTTGTTTTTGGACTAGTAATGTTAATATTTGAAACATAAGAATTACTGACACGATATATTTAAGAACAAATTTGAGGTGAAGTTACTTAGAGTCTTCTTTTAAATTAAACTCACTGTAATTGCTAAGCTTGAAGACTTGTTTTACAGAGATGCTGAGGATGTAGGAAGCTTTTCCAAGATACTTCTTCTGTATTTGATATTCCCACAGGTGACTTGAACCTGGGAACATTGATTTTCCCATAAAATTTTTTTGCCTGGCCTCAGTTCTGTTACATTTTGTTATTACTTTGTCAAGAGAAGAAATGCACTGTCTATCCTGAAGGAACTGTTCCTTTTTTATGTAACTATAGTCATTGTTTATCATGATACTTCTTTTTATTGATCTTGGCTAGCTCAGTTTGTATTCTCAATTTCTCTTAATTGGAATTTAGTTGTTTCTGACTGTCTCTTAGAATACTTTATTTAAAGTGTTATTTGCTTCTGAGTAAGTAATGCATTCACATGGTTCAAAATTCAGAAGGTATAAAAAGCGTGCGTGATGAAAATACTCCCCTCTCACTCCTATTCCCTAGCTACCCATTTTCTCTCAGAGACAGTTATTAATTTCTTCACATACCTTTCGTGCAATGCTAGTGGGAATGCAAATTGGTACAGCTCTCCTGGAGGCAAATTAGATAACATCAAACAAAACTTACCTTACTTTTTTGGCCCAACAATCCTACTTCTAGGGATTTACCCTAAAGATATACCTTCAACAATACAAAAATATATGTGCATAGGGTTATTCACTGCTGTGTTGTTTGTACTTGCAAAATATTGGAATAAATCTAAATGCCTTTGTATAGGAGAGTGAGTGAATATGTTATAGTATAGTCACATAATGGAGTACTATGTAGCTGTAAAGAAGCAAGAATGAGAAAGATCTCTATGAACTGATGTAGAGTGATTTCCAGGATATCCTTTTTAAGTGAAAAAAACCCAAAACTGTGCAAAAGAATAATATATGCACCTTCATGTAAC